GTTAAGTATACTTGTATATGCATGTCACTATAAGCAAGATTTGGATTCTATCAATATAAAATTATTAAACGTTGTTGTGTATCACTCTTTGAAACAAGCCCTGGCTTCGAAGGTTTTCAGGAGAAATCATTTTTGATTTTCTCCGGTTTAATAAAAAAGCAGGATAAAGCCTAACTCAATGAGAGGGGGCGTGGGCTAACGGGGATTTAACAATCTGATTGATCCCGCGGGTGGGAATGCTACCAGGGACTTTGCTATTAACTGTGGGTAGCTGCGGTTTCTAATGCGAAGCGTATATGAAATGGTGAAAAGTTGTGAAACGGACATATTTTTTATATATTTTTTTTCGGTATGAATGTTTGGTACAATTTTTATGTATTGCGAATTTTCTAGAAATGTTAAGATGTTTGGATTAGGTGATTTAAAATCGTAATAAGTATGCTGTGATTACTACTATAGTTTCATAGAGAAGCGTCCATTTTTGTTATATTGTGAACTAAATGACAGAAGAACCACTTAGATATCTCTTTACTTCGAAAAATGACGCGATTAATTAAATGTTAAATGTGTCCTTACTTTGACATGCTATCCATTATTTTTATTCAAAGATTAAATATAGGGATGCTGGAATAATTGCTTAGTGCATTCAATAAACATTATATTGTTTAAAAAATGTATCCCGATTTTGTAAGACAGGAACATCATGTTAATCATTTACATTTTATTTCACTTTTTATTTTTTTGATTTCGTTTCACGTTTTCTTTGTCTGCTCATAGGCAGGTCTATTTTTCACGTGTTTTACATGACCGGGTCTGTCTGACTAGAACAGACCTGTGCACGTGCAAAAGATAGACCTTATAACGGATTTTCTTTTGTTTAAACAGGTCTATCCGAAAAATATAGACCTGTCACAAACAATAGAGGAGGTGTGTAAGCAAAAATATAAATTGTGTGAGTTAATGAAACATTTATGTAAAGCAAAATATTATAAAGTTCCTTAACACATAATATTTGATATTGCTCATTATGTTCTTCTATACTATCATGCAACAAGCCTTTTGAATGATGGACAATGTCATAAATTTTTTAGAGGGTTCTAAATATTCAAACATTTGTTAATTGTACAAGTAGTGTTCAGAGATTGTTGTAATGTGCATTAAAACATGAAAAGGCCCGTACTCGAACATAATGGGATGAAAAAACTTCCTTGTAAATTTCCTTCAGTTTTATAAACTATATACAATGTTACATCGCCTGTGGATAATTGTTTACAAGAAATATCTTTAAAAAAGATACTCGGCAGAAGTAAAGCTGGTTAATTTGTAAATGTTAGTTTTTAGTTTTCCATGCAAAGTCATATTAAAATGTTAGCATAGCTTGCATTACAGTATAACACAATAATTTCTTGTAAGGTTATTAATCTTGAAAAAATGGAACACTTTAAGATGTATGTGTTTCTAAACAAACCTGTAGTGTTTGGGTAAGTGAAATGTATAACTCAAATTCTATTACCAACATCTGCGTAGTTGGTAAGGCAATTATTTCTATAAATACTTGATAAATATATAATAATAATTATAAACAATGTGTCAGTTGAACAAATCAAAAATCATTTGATATATTAAAAAAAAAAAATTAAAATTAAATTAAATTACATATATATAATATATTAGACACTTATCGAACATAAAATATATAAGACACTTATCGAACATTATAAACTAAGGGTACGATATTAGTTTTTGATATTATTCTCGCTATTTTGAACAAAATTTAAAACTAAGATCTTGTGTTAAATAAACTCAGTAAGGTCTGACGTAAAATAAACTGTTCACTAGAACATGTAAAATACGATCTGAATGCAAGAAGTATTGTTAAACAAACTGAAATACAAAATGTATATGCGCAATTAAACTAGAAGTTTAAGAACTATCTTGTACATTTTATTTTAGAACTATCCTTAACGTTTTATTTCATAATGGCAATAACCATCATTTTACATTCTAGTTCAGAACTCTCTTAGAATGATAAAAAAACTAACTTTTCATTGCATTTTAGAATGGCTAATGAGATTTCCAGATTTCATTTTGTAATTTTGAAATGAAATAATTTTAATTTAGCAATTTTAAAACGTATACTTTACTTCATGTTGAATCTGTCAATAAAGTTAAACGGTGGGATAATCAGAATAAATACGTGTGTACAAATGAACTTTTAGGAAAAGAAAATACTGAAAAACAGATTATTGCAATCTCTAAAATGTTTTCTATCAAGTTTGAGTTTTGCAGAACCATATATTAAACTATATACAATCTATATGAATTGACTGTTGGGTATAAAATGGGTAGACGAAAAACAGAAATATGAAAAAGGCTGTTGTGCCATCTATATGTGTTTAACCTGAGTACTTCAGACTTTATTTAAAAAAAACAATTTTTATTTCTTGGAATGGTTGAAATAGGCTACGTATAGTATTTTTGGAGGTGTGGTTTTAGAATGTCAAAAAACTCAACTTAATTCAGTTAGATTAATATACTTATGCCACGATTTTTAAAGTTTTTAAGTTTAAAAGATTGTTTCTAGATAAATGCTTCAAATTTATTCCATACAAATCATTTTTTGAATGTTTAAGTCGCCTTATCCATGTGACCCTTAGACTATTCATAAAACATCTAAAGGTCAGTCGTTTTAAACATCCAAACTTGTATACTGTAATAGCCGGCGGTAGTCAGAATTATCAAGAAGAGTTTTAAAGTTAACAATAGTTTTATTTTTTTAAACAATTCATAAAAATCTATTATTATTATACGAAGATGTTGACTAATAATTATAAATAATTATTAGCATCTAAATAAATCTTTACAGTATAATATTGCAGACGATAATTTATTAACGAATTAATTTCAATAGATTCTTATCCGATACTAGATCTAACACCAGTGGACACAATTCAAATACTAATAAATACGGACATAATGGACGGATGGTTAGACGGACTTACTTTATACTATTAAGTATACTCTTTGACTTTTCAAATATTGCCGGTCAAAGAACCGTACGCAACTGAATTTTTACTGGTCGCCGCCCGTTTTATAAGCTTTGGTCCGTGTCACGTGATCTAAAACAACCAATGGATGGAGTCTCAGGAAGAGGGGTGTGACCCTTTTAACCAATAAATTACTGTCCGGCGACCGTTAGCCAATGAAATCAATGAACGGTAAACGGCAGGAATTACAAACTACCGGTCATTTTCTGAGACTCCACTCATGATATAATGACTTTTACTCATCAACAGTAAGTAATATGTATGTAAAACTTATAAAAATACAATGCTTGGTAAAATAACAATCATTTTGATATACAACACTATGACAAAAAGTGACTGATCTTCATATAATCAACAAAAATAGGTTACTGAACGGCGGCTGAGTTACAGACGCTCGAAATGGAACTTAGCTATTCAAAAGCAAAATCGTAAAATATAACAATAATTCATAATTTCAAGTGACTGTGAAGTGTTTCTGAGACGAAATAATATAAAGGCATATTTCCTATTGGTTAAGTCAGTCCTATAATGAGTAATTATCACATAAACATAAAAATCGCAGAGTCACCAACTACAACAACAACAACAAAAATGTCAGCCTCCATGAATTTGTGTAAATGTAAGGAGGAAATCATTAAATACATGAGATTAAGTAACATAGTAAGTGATATTGTAGGATATTTCTTAAAGACTCACAGTTAACAAGGTAAATGCCTACATGTTTAACAATTTCATGAACTCTGCAACGAATTATACAAGCTAAGAAATGACAATCTGTGATTTCTTACAATACTATATTCCTTAACTTAACTTTATCCATACCTTCATTCTAAAGATATTTGAAGAAAATATTTTGTATCAAGTTTTTTTTCTAAAGACAGATAAAAGATTAAGTTTGGCAAGTGACAAAAATTTTGAAACTACAAGTCTTTTAATAGGGGAGATAATTATTTTGGATAAATTAGCGAAAAGTTTCTTTAATTCTTGAATTTTTGCATCGTAATTTAGATTTATTGTTTGGCTTAAATCTGATGAAATCTTAATACCTAAAAGAGTAAATGTTAAACTATTCCAAGCAAGGTTGTACTCTGGACAGATCTCATTATAGCTTTGTGTGAACCGGACCAGACCAGTTTAGTCTCTTTTACTGTATGAATAACAAGTCTGATAGATTTACATGAATTAAAAAAAAACATTATGCTTTTTAAAGCTTTCTCTAGAAATAAGCTAGTATCATATGCATATTGGGACACTTTATTTGCCATGAATTCTGATACCTTTTTTAATTATGACTAATTCTGATCAACATTGGAATAATTTCAGCACATAGAATGAGCAGGTATAGTGACAGTCTGTCATATGTCCATTTACTATTTTACAAGACTCAACATTTGTATTAAAAAGCTTGATCCATATTCTAATCGAAGGGCTAAAATTCAAAACCTCTAAAAACTTGTTTTCATAGTTGATATATCGTTTCTTTTTCAATATTTTCTATATATTTTAAAAGCAACACCCTCTTTTTTAAGTTCCATTTTCTTTATTATGCGATGCATAACTTATTGTTGTCACTCTAATATTAAACATTAAATTCACAAATTAAATCCAGTTGGTTATTAATGCTGAATCTTAACTCTTCAATATCAACATCAATAATATTCTTGCTACTCTGTGAGCTTGACATGGTAATCTTTATTCACATTGCGCTTGTATTAAATTCTTTATATACAGTGAACTTTAAAAGAATTATTTATTTAAATATAAACTTGACATATCAGACATGGATTTTTGTTTATCACATAACTTGAGTTCTTAATATGCAATGTGCTTGAAATTGATTTTTATAATGACACTTAAATTGGCGTAAAGTTCTGTATTATCATTTGCATAAATCGGGACCTTCCGGCAGGGACTATATATTCTTTTATGTGAAATTTTGAAGAAGCTAACTAGCTCACGGAAGGTCGATATCTGCTTGTGCCTTATATAATGCATGAATGGAAACTAATTATTACATCCATCAATTACAATACCCATATTTTTAACTATTCATTAGCAAATTAGTGTCAAGATTTGAAGTGTAAAACTACAACTGTTCATGTTTTCTTCGGAAATGTGTTCTACAAGTAAATTAAAAAGTTTATGCCTAAAATATATCCAATTAATATTAACGTCTGTAGTTTGATTTTCAAACAAATTTATTACATTATTTGTTTGTTTTGAAATTTAACATCACTGGACATAACATATGATTAAACGACCAAAGTGGTCCTCCGAGGCCTCAAATCCCTCTCATAAGCTGCAATATCTTCATTTTCACCAGTTCGTTGTCGCTCAAGAAATAATGCTAAAGTTCCCGTTCCCGTTCCATTTTGAACCCCGGCTGCGAGGCCACCATCTGCACATCGATCTCCAGGACAATAACCTCCGTGAACGGGGAATCCATTTTCACCTCCACGTGCACGGACTGCTCCTAATCTAAGTCTTTCCTCAGTTGTTGTTTCCACTGGAGCTATTGTAGAGGCGGTTTGTATTTCATCTCTGGCAGTGTCGTAAACATCTCTTCTTGGGGATATTTCTACCGAACGAATACTTGTAACAGGTACATCATCAGTTTCTAATCGTCGGATTCTATATGAACGTTCTCGTGGACGCAGTCGCCGCCGACTGACATCCGGTTCCTCGGAGAAAGATTCCTCTTTTCTTGGTCTCCGCCCATCTCTTAATATGTCTGACACAAAATCCCTACGTCTTGGTGGTAAATATTCCCGACTACGTGTTCTATCTCTTATTGCTGAAGAGCGATCTCTTGTTTCATCAATTGGTCGTACATCTGGAGACGGAAGAGGTGGAAGACGGCGACGCATCAATGAATCTTCCTCTCGAAACACCGCTCTAGGTCTTTCTTCGGAAGGAATAAGGCGTCGACGCCTTATTGGTAATTCTTCTCTTGGTACCTCTCTGAGTCTTTCCTCATGTGGTGGAAGGCGAAGACGTCTCAATGGCAAGTCTTCCCTTGACACAGCTCTTACTCGTTCCTCGGGAGTTCGAAGGCGACGACGCCTCATTCGCATATCTTCTCTTGGCATATCTCTACGTCTTTCCTCGGAGGGTGGAGGGCGACGACGCCTGAGTAGAAATTCTTCTCTTGGCACATCTCTAAGTCTTTCCTCAGGAGATATAGGGCTACGACGTCTGAGTGGTTCGTCTTCTCTTGGTACCGCTCTAATTTCTTCATCAGGAGCAGGAGAGCGACCCCGCCTCGTTGGTTCTTCTTCTTCCCTAAATGGTCTGTCTGCTAGTCTTTCTCTTCCTAGCAATCTTCTTGTTTCTCGACGACGGGAAAAAGTTGGTGCCTCTCTAATATCACTTTCAAGATATCGGCGCCTTGCAGGAATGCCTACAGCGCCACGCCTTTCACCAGCAACGTTTGAGAGATCTTCATCAAATGATCTCGACGGTATTCGGCGACGTCGTGTAGGCCTTTCGTCTCTCAAAGACCTTACACCTGCAGATAGCGGTAACTCTTCTCTGTATCTTTCTGTTGAAGGGAGACGACGGCGTCTTACAGGTGTAAGTTCTTCTCCTTCAGACATTCCTCTTTCATCACTAGAAAGACGTCTTATCGGTCGACGTCGACGCGGTGACATTATTCGTTCACCCCTGCTTGATCTAACTGATATCGGAGTATCGTCATCTGGTATTAGTGGTTCAGGTATATATCTTCTCCGTCCTGGGAAACGGCGACTAACTGGCGGCATGTCTTTTCTAAGGACTCTTTCACGACTAAATATGTCACGATCTATAAGGGGTAATTCATCTCTGTAATAATGCCGTGATGGAATTCGACGCTTAAGTGGAGAGATAATGTCATCCCGCGTTGGTATATAGGGGGAAGAATGGTCACTTTCTGATAATGGGTCATCTATGAACCCACCTCGTGTTGGTTGCCGAATAGGTGCTGTTTCTTTGCTTATTGGTCTGTCAGCAGGTAATATATCGCGTTCCGGAACCAATGATTCATCCCTGTATACAGTTTTTGATGGAAAAGTGCGGCGTCTTATTTCTCTTCTTGGTAGCAGACCATCACCTCTATGTCGCGTTGATATCAAAGGTCGACTTCTCGTATCAGTTCTTAAATCATCTTCCGCAATTCGACTTGAACTTGATATTTGATCTTTCAGTTGACTGTCGGAAGATCTACCTGTATCTTTGTTCACCCTTTGAGAAACAGTGGAAGACGGTTGACGAACTGACGAATTTACTTTGGATGTTAGGACTTGCACATGCGAATTGACAGGTTGACTGCTTTCCGAAAGGCTAACCTCAGACAACTTTGCGTGTGATCTTTCAATTTCTACAGGCGTTTGGCTTGCTTTTACAGCATTCGTGTTTACAAGCGAATTCATCATTATATCGGTTTCTGCATTTTCACGGACGTCATTATTTTTGACTGGAATTATGTTGTTGGAAGAATGTTCAGTGTATTTTGGTTTTAGAACTTTGGTTTGTGTTTGCGTACTTAGAGTATTTAACCTATTTAATTCAACTTTCAATGGTTTTGTTGTTGTCACGTCAATTGGCCTTAAGGTGGTTTTACTGTCGCTTTCTTTTGCTAAATTTACAACTAAACTTGATTTTGGGATTGGCAATGGTATATTAAAAAACTTTGGATGTTTTCTTGATAATATGTTTGATAATCCAACGACTCGTGTAGGTTTATTTTGTTGAATGTTTTTTTCTTTTGAAACTTCAGCTGATGGCTTTGAGCTACTGATGGCTAATTTGACCGACATGGTTGTTGTAGCCAGAATTCCATCCGTAGATTTAGCTGTACTTCTTTCGTTGACACTTATTTCGGAAATCTTACCAAACCTTTTTATTGGCTCTTTATCAATTATCTCTTCGGATAAAACTGCACGTTGGACTGTTTCACTAAGAAGCGTAGTATTTGGAGTGGAGTGGCTTGTGACTGAAGATTTTGTATTAGATCGATGTGTGAGAAATCCGTCCGGTTTTGATTTAACAGATTGGCTGTTGCTATGACTTGATTCCGGTTTATTTATAAAACCGTCTGCCTGTAATTTTAAATCAGTTCCCACAAGATCAGATGGATTTTGATCGGCGATAGCACTTAGTCTGTCTATTGTCTGAACCTGCGGATTTTCGTTTGAAGACGGTTGTATTATTTTGTAACTAGGCACTGGGTCTAATATACTTGAATCAATTCTTTCCTCTCTCAGAGGCACATTTCTTTCAAATAAGGGCGCCGGTTTTGTTGTATCTAATGGACCTAATCTGTCGAAGGAGTTGTGAATATCAAAGAAATCTGATGTTGATATATCAGTCTCACGATGCCGCGGGGCTCTATATGACGTTCGTGATTCTTCTGTTGCATCATACGGCGGAAGAACTCCCTCGGTGCGCCGATCTATCATTCTGTCAGATAAACGTTCATATGGGAGTCTTTCAAATATGAATCTATCTCGTTCAAATTCAGTTTGGGTTTCTGTGCGTGGATGTCGCGGCGGACGTCTCAATCTTGCATCTATATATGGGCGTTCTTCTGAAAAAGTAGTTTCTACTCGCCTGTCTCGGATCGGAGGACCTCTGCGCAAGGGTAATCTCTCCCTCGGACGGCCACTTACTGTTCGATTAAATGTACCCCTTCTTCCTCCTATGTATGATTCATCATCTAATCTTCTTTCACTAAAACTAGGTGAACGCTCTACTGCAACGTCATCTCTTGATCTATATTGATCATCTCTATCTCGACTATAATATTCTCGCGGCCCTCTTCTCCGTGGGCCTCTGGGACGTATGCGTCTTGGTCTCGGACGAAATGTCCTGCGGGGTCTAAAACGTCTGCCTGCTCTTGGTGGTTCAAATTCCCGGAAGAATGGATCATAAGATGGTCTTCTTCTTGCTCTAGGCCGTACTCTACCACGTCGAGGCGGAGATGAAGGTCGTCTTCGTCGCCTACCATAACGTCTACCTAATGGTGGTGTTCTTGGAAAGGGTCTTCTCCGGCTTGATCTATATGGTGGTCTATCTGGCTCAAATCTATCTTCAACATAGCTTGAGGATCTTCTTTCATAGGGTATACTACGTTCAGATGTGCCTGTATAAACGTCTAATGGATCAATCCTTCTTCGAGGATCTAAATACCGCGTCGGTAATTCTCTACTTCTTGAATCATCAACCAGTGCAGGGCCGTCACTTCTAGGTTCAGACTGAGAATAAACTGTTGCTGGTATACATGTTGCAAGTAAAAGGAAGTGCAGATAGAAGTTCATTGTCCTGAAATATTATATGAAAAATTATTAAATGTAAGTCAACAATAATCTTAAGTAATACAAAAAGGTTTTCCACCAATAAAGATGATGAAATTAAAGTTTTAGTTTTAATGAGCCTGTGTGAACGGTTTCTATTAATGCAATCAATCTTCTTTGCAATCCAGTACCGCAAATAGCAGAAATCAACATTCTAGTAATATTTAAAGGGCTACAGCGTGAACACAAAGTATTGTTAAGAAACTACTCCGCGACTGAGACAAAGCAGACATTTAATATGTACAAGTTAATCTTGATTAAATATATTATGTGCTTTTTATTGGAGATGCCACACTTATCACGATATCTTGGGAACAAAATCTATGCAACCGAGTCTCCTATTTTCAAATATGTTTTGCTTTTTTCCATTTCTTTCAAGTGATCTCCCCTTTCTATTTTTTTATCAATCAATCAAACAGCGTTGCTGTGACAGTTTCCATGGTTACAACAAAGCTTATTTTCTTAAGTGATGCAATTGAACAATATGATGTAAATTTTTATTCAAATTGTTCAAGGATGCGCAAATTGTGTTATCATTTGACACTGTTTTATTTTTATAGTTCAGAACAAGCTAATCAACTATCGCTCTTTAATCAAATATTATATATATTTTTGTTGCGCAAATACAATGTATCTGAATTTAACAAATACAAATAAAAACAAACAAACAGAAAACTTACCGTATTCAATTAATCCGATTTTTCTGACAGTACTCGACATAAAACACATCTTAAAATGTATCAATTAGGCCCTTTGGCAAACTACTACACGGTCATCTTTTTCAAATATTTCTTCACACGATTGGTTTTCGAAATTAAAATCACCATACATGTAAATCGATAGCACGTGACACATAGTAAAATGTGGCGGTAAGTCGAATCCGTCTTAATAAATTATCAATTGTACAATACTAACAAACACTTTATATAATTCAAATGTCACGTTGACCATTTGAATTCATTTCAAAGCAATGACCTTTTTGTGAAGTAACGCTTAAATACTTAGAATCCTTGAACAACCATAACCAGGCAAAGAAATAGTCAATGCTAAAACCATGGTCAAGTTTTTTACAATTTTAACCTTCCACAAGATACAAGACTATTACAGACATCTGTATAAAGTATGTGTCATTTTTCTTTGCCTTACCATGTATGTGACAAATGTTTTATAACTTTATATAATAAATTCCATTGCAAGCCTCCTTGCATATATATATTATATATATTTAATTGATATAAGATTTGAGTTTGAAACTTTTCAACAATCAAGTACAATATGGTACCAAGAACACTGTAGCATGCAATTGAAAATTCAGTCAGTTTCGCACACCTCAGACCACTTCCTTATTTAGAAACTAGTTACTAACTAGTTTCTAACCTCTATACGGCCACCGCGTCAATATAAATAAAAACTGACAATCCTTAAAATTAGTCTGGTAATTCGTTTTACATGTACATGTATATCGATCATTTAGAAGTAGTAATTTTATTTTTATTCATGTATAAGGTATTACATTCCTATGAAAAAAATCACTTCTCTGGGATGAATACTCAGTTTTAAGATAATTTATATGTTTAGGAGTCATTTATCATTATTGGCATGAAAAGAAGCACAACGTGAGTATAGCGTTACAACTACATGAACTATCAATCATAATGTGGACAATTAGATTAACATGGATATCTTTAATCATAGATGCAAATACCATAGATACTCCATTGAAATATCACACACTCCTATCACAAACTTAAACTTGAGTCATTTTGTAGCATTTAAAACTGAATGGATGTGATGTATATTTGATCCTTTTATGGTATAAACCATTTGATAGTTAAATTTTTTTATCTATTGCAGTATGTTAAGATATTAGTAACTTTCTATGTCTTTTACTCAAAATAACTAAGCAAAACATATCCAATTGAGCCTATTTTCGTCATATGCATAGTTATATAATAAAAGATAATAAACAGGAATCTTCAAAAATGATGTATCAATTATCAAAATGGGAACTGTGGATGTTTTACCTGTAGCCATAGACAAATGTATAAGCTTTCATAAAATGTATTAATTTACTGACATCTGGTTGATAAATTTTACTTGAGCAGGACTACAAGTTTTAAGTTTAGCAAGCACGAGGGATATCTAAACTGAATAGGAAGTTCTCTGTAATCTTTGTCAAGTTGCTTATGTGATGGTTTATTTTGTTCTTCTAAACGTAAAACTACAATTGCGATTACGTGTATATGGTCGCATGATTAATTCCAAAAAAAAATCGTTCTTGATTCGGTTATAGGTCGCAAGGTCAAAATTAATTTAAGAACTTTTCACTGCACTCTCCATGAATACAACTTACTTAGTTTACTCACTAAATACTGCATGGTTTTAAGATGCGCGTGTCAGGACAAAAATGTACAAATTCTGCATGGATAAGTGAAAAACTAGGTTTTATTCTTGTTATGTATTTATTTCATTTTTACTTTTATTTCATATTTACATGTTATTACTTTTATGTTTATACGACACAAATTTAAGCTACACAAATCCAAATTGCACAGATAGTCTTTGTAACAGAATCTTCCAAATCATAATAATAAAATCGGTTATAAGCAAACATACAGACAAGGAAACTGAATATATAAATCGATACAATTATAGTATAAATAGCTTTTATTATGCAAACATTTTGAGATCTCATAGAAGACGCCTGATTGTTTAAAAGACAAACATTTTCTATATTTCATAAGTATATTATAACTTATAATGGGGACTGGACAGAAAATGCAAAATTCCCAAA